CAGTAGGTGATGGGAAAGACTTCAGCCTGAGACCCTGGAGTGCCGTTGATAGTCTGAGTAGACAATACTGACTGTGATGGACTACGGGTCTGATTCAGTAGAAGGCAGCTTCATGTGTTCATCTCCAGTTTGAAGGACCTCATTTAACAAGGCTAGGAAAGGTTTCGGTGGTTAGCTCTGTTGGTCTGAAGCAACAGAACAAAATTTGAGTCCGGTTGTACCTCTAAGAGCAACAGAGTTTAATTCTGGGTATAAGCCTTCATGTGCATCTGAAGAAGCATGCATAAACACAAAAGCTTATACTCAGAATTAAACTCTGTTGGTCTTAAAAGTGCCACCAAGCTCAAACTAAGGCTAGGAAAGGTCCCTCTCAGCCCAAGTCCAAGCAATGACAGGGCTTGGTGCATCAACATTAGGCAGGTTGCAGCTTGCCCGGTGGAAAAAGTGACCCTGTCTGAAGTAAGGGGTGGCGCTTCCTGTGTGTGCCCACCTGGCAAGCTGCAACTGGCACCTTTGGCCATGCTGGTAGGAAAGCGAGAATGTCTGGCCAGCCACTGTTGCCCAACCACAGTCCGCCTGCTTTGCAACAAAAGAGTAAGACAAAGGGCCCAACACATCGCACTGCTGCTGGGAGAAAAACACAATTTATTTACAAGTAGAAACGTTTTATTATTTAAAATGAAACGATTTGATTGCTAAACTCTTCTACAATGGCGAGTACTAGAACTCCAAAAGAAGCCCAACCCTGAATGGCCACTATAGTCCCAACTCCCCCCCCCCCCCGAGATGCTGCTGTGCTACTCCACAGTAACAGGGAGGGTGTTCTCCAGGTACCCAGGCAGAGTCTGGAACAATTTTGGAAACCGGCCCTTTTAAAACATGGACGTTCTCTCTAAGCTGCAGAGTGTTTAGAGCAAAAATTCTGCTCCGTGAGCCAAAAGACCTCCTAGCATTAAAGTTGTGAGTAAAGTCTGATTTGACTATTGCGTAAATTAGTCTTTTATAACCATAACCTTTTAATAACTATTACCATAACATTTTTATAGTGCACAGGAGCACCTTAAAGACCAACATAATGTATTCTAGCTGGGGTTGCCAAACTCCAGATGGATATGGAAAAATATATGACACTGTGTATAATAGATGTATGCTTAAGGTAGATCTATTTTGTGCTTTTTATCTTTATTTTTAATTTTTCTTTACTATTATATAAATATTAATGTCAAGCATTACCAAACATAGGTTCACCAAAACAATAGGTTTACACTGTGTTCAAATATTCAAACAGCACCTTGTCAGTTTCCCAATCACTAGTCCCACGAACTCTAGTAATTTACCTGTTAAATACTGGGTTCTGGACGCATTGCAGTGATCAGCTCTAGTTTATTTAGTGATTTCAGCACACTACAAGGACACCCAGCAGGGTTTGAGCCCTGCTTATAAAGCATGCAAACACCACACCCCACACACACCCACTCCCAAGGATAGGCTATTTACATTACACTATTTATATATAGGTCAATTCCAGGATCCTGGTCAGCTATTGTTCTTGGGGAGCAAGCTCACCCAGTTCAAGGTTCACCTTCAGGGCTGGCTCAGGCTCAATACATAACATTACCCCTATCAACTACAATCTTTTATAAGGACAGCGATATACATACAAGACATAAGGTGCAATAAATTCTATTTGTGAGTATAAAACTCTTAAAATGGCAGCATTTTTCTAGGGTCCCATCAGAACCCTTGCGGCAGTGCCTCAGGAGAGCTCCTCCCCTGCCACGTTGTTAGTTACAACGAAGTCCGAGTCCACTCGGGTACCTTGAAGTCCAACAAAGTTTTATTCAGGGTATGAGCTTCCGTGTGTGCACACACGCCCCACTTCCTTAGGTACACTGCAATGGCAGTGGCCAGTCCCTGCACACACGAGAAAAAGCAGTGCCCTGTCATTATATATATCATTAGCTGCCAAATGAGGTTAGAATTGTAGGTCACTGCTGCTATTATTACAAATGTACTGAAAAAGCTGATATAACTTTTAGATGTGATGTTAAATTTTAGTTTGACACTGCCACTGTTGTTAACTTACCTTGATTTTGCTGGCAGTGGCCCACCTGGCCATAACTACCACCTGGAAGTCTACCTCCCCTCCAACGCTGACCATGTGGAGACATAAAGTATGGGATCAGTTTATTATGTGCAAAATCTCTGACTCACTTCAAAGACAACGATTGGGCACCACCATGACCTACTCTAGGTTTGTACGCACACGGTTTCCATGGCTGTGGTACATGACAGAAGCTGAACTTCTTCCCACTAATCTAGTACTCACACTTGCCTGACAGAGGTAGCATAATTACCAGCACTTCTTACGCTTTCTAATTGGTTGATAAGTGTTCAAAAATGTTAAACAGTTTTTACTGCTACATAATAAGCTGTTGATGCGACTTGATCCTTATTGCTTGTTGTTGCTTGTTTAATGCTTTTGATGTTCATTGTTGTTAATGATTTAAAAACAAATAAAAAATATCTTTTTTAAAAGTTGCTTGTTAATAGCATACTACTTCCTTTTTTTGTAATTGTATCATCATATTGCTGTATGTTGATATATTGATATTGAAATTAAATAAAATGTATTTGTCTTTAAAAAAGAAAGAAAAAAAAGAAAAAACAGCAATAGATGTACACAAGGCGGCGGGGGGGATGCAGGTGCCCAAATTCAACGGCCAAGAAACCCAGTGATGTATAGATTTTATAGATATAACAGACACAATACTCGGAGCAAAGTTTCATAGTATGACGCCAGGTGGGGGTGCACCGTCCCTGCGCACAGGCGGAGGGCGGGCAGCAGACTGGACCGGGCTCTATCGCGGCGGCGGCGGCGGCGGCGGCGGCGTCACTCGCGGGGCCGGATTGGACAAGGAAGCCGCCGACGTCACGAAACGGCCGACTCCAGCCCCTCCTCCCCCTCCCCCCCTGAGCGGAGGGGAGGGGCGCGCACGCAGCGCCGCCGTCGCCCGTGTGACGCAAGCCGGGCGCGCCCACTCCGCCCCTCCCTGTTGGGCCCGGTCGGTACAGGCCCGGCGGGCGACCCCATTCCTCGCCCCCCCCAGCCGCGCCCGCCCGGTGATGGCGCCGCGGCTGCAGCTGGAGAAGGCGGCCTGGCGCTGGACCGAGACGGTGCTGCCCGAGGAGGTGACGCAGGAGCACATCGAGGCGGCCCTCTGGGGTGTGGCTGGCGGGGAGGAGGCCAAGGGAGGCGCCGCTCGGCTCCCGCTGCCCCCCAAGGGCGGGACTCCCCCCCCTTCCCGCAGGCATGGAAGGGGGGGAGGGGGTGGAGTGTGTCAGCGGTCAATAAGAGTAGTGGAAACAAAGTGGCCTCAACGCATCCCTGGTCTGGAGAGGTACCTGCGTGGTCCATGCCCTGCCTCCCACGGTTCAGTGTGTTTGTCTTGTTCGGACTGAGGAGGGGCATAGCAATTAACCGCTAAAATGAAATAGTGACGCTTGGGTAGTGAAGTCCTCAGCGGCACGGTGGAAGTGGAGGCCCGGCGGAGCTTCAGAGCGGCGTCACCTCAGACAAGGGACACCCTTTGCGTGCTTTTGTTTCAGCTTCCGTGGCAACATGAGGTGTTTAGGACCATCTGGGCTGTAGGCAATGTGTACTTGGGGGTGGGGGGCTAGCAAGGGCCGGGCTACCTTCTCCTGAGGTGGGAGGGGTGGGCCTTGCCTTCACTCCTGCCATGTTCCCAAATACGAGGCCTCTTCTTACTTTTCCCCATGGGAATGAATGTCAACAATCCTTGGCTTATGTGGAAGGCGGTAATAGGGACACAGAAGGGGAGGGGCAAACCCTGCCGCCAGGTGACTCCTCCCTCCCCAGTAACACCAGCCACTGAGAGTGAAGACTGTTCCTTCCTGCAAAGCAGGTTTGGTTTATTGATCATGCTGAAGGGCAGTGTTTGGCTCGGGAGATGCCCGTGCATTCTTCCATATTCACTGTCCCTCTCTGTTTGTCCATGGCGAGTGTGTGCAGAGCCTTCTGACTCACACAGCACCACAGGTCCCGACTCCCAAGACACTTGTAATCTACAGTTTGACAGTGGAGGAGGCCATACCTTTAAAGGAAGAGCAGCCTGCCTTCATTTTGGTTTATGCACAGCAGAGTTGCTTCCGGAAGTGCAGTAGAAAGGAGAAGGTGGGGTGACGACATATATGACCCCAAGTGCAGTTGTGTCCTCTGATTTGGGGTGAGGGTGAAGAGTTTCATGGGAGAGAAAACTTGCTTTCTGCAGGTCATATAAACAAACATGTAGCTGAGGAGTGGGTTACTGAATCAGTGGGCTTTCTAACAAGGGAGGTGGGTGGATGACTGCATCTGGAATAGCAATTCCTACACCTGCTGGGTATCTCTCTTCCTTTAGCATCCTGAATCACAAGTCCCTTTGAGCAAAGCAGTGGTTCAGGTCTGTCCTTACTGAAGTTTGCAGTGGAGGGGAGAGAAGGACATCAACGAGTGTTGCAGGATTTGGCAATGTCTCTGCAGTGGTTTCAAAACACCTGTGTGGCAGAGGTGCTGGATGAGTTGACTGTGGCCTCTTGGCCTCACAAGGCCTGTTGTGTTAGCTATTTGATTGGGGCTGAGGAACTATGTGAACTCCAGGAGTAAATAGGAGGTGCTGGGGATAGCGATGATGGGGGTTGACATGGGGGGGAAATGGGGGCACACTGGATTAATCTTGCTCCTCTTGCTTTTATAGAAGAAACTGTAGAGGAAACCCAAACTGTTTGGTGGGGATCGGTGAGCACGTTTGGCTGGGAGAAATAGATGAGAACAGCTTTCACAATATTGATGATCCAAACTTTGAGCGGAGGAAAAAGGTATGCTTATGTGAACTCCTAGTATAAGCTCTTGCGCTTCTGTGTCAGCTCTAAAGCCTCTCCAAGTGGAATTCTCTTTCTGAAAGGCTTCCTAAACTTGAATCTGAGGCTCACATCTGAGATCTATAAGGAAGAGAGAATTTGTCTCGACTCTGCAAAGAGACGACGTGCTGGTTCTTGTTTGTGCCCGACTGGATAAGTTGCTTCGTGTTTCCCGGAAGCTTCCATCTCCAGTTCCTTTTGCACATCACTTGCAAAGTGTCAGTTGTGGTTGTGGGTAAGAACTGGTGAAGAAATCTGATCATTTTGTGCTATTTTATGAAAGAGAATTAGGATCCCCAAAGATGTGAGACGACAGCTGAGAGTCCTCTGGAATGTTAGAAGTTCTCCAGAAGTTTTCTACAGACTTGGTGTTGACCTGTTACGACCTCAGTCTCCTAACAAGGGCAGCCACACCAGCTGAGTGTGTTAAGGGTACAGAGTGTCCCCTGGAGAGACAGGGTGCTGTGGCTCAGCATTAGCATGCTTGCTTTGTGTGCAGAAGGTCCCAGGTTCGGTTGCTGGCATCTCTTGGTCTCAGACCAGGTGTTGTGAACAGGCTTGCTGTGCCTGAAGCTAATGCTCCCTCTAAGCTGTGGAGTCTTGTGAGCAAAAGTTCTACTTTGTGAGTTACTGGTATTAAAGTTGTGAGTGACCCATTTGGCTACTGCATGAACGAGTCTGCTCTGGAGCCATCCTTCTTAAGTCAAAAATGCGTGAGCTGGAGGCTAAAAAATTGTGGGCTAGCTCACACTAACTCAGTTTAGAGGGAACACTGCCTGAGACCTGGGAAGCAGATTATATTTGGCTAGCTGGACCAGTAATCTGATTTAGTATGAGGCCTCCTTTTTTCCCCTTTCTTTTACGGGGTGATGTGTTGGAATTTCTCTTACATCTCCTCTCTTTCTACCAGAATGCCTTTGTGGGCCTCACGAACCTCGGAGCCACCTGCTACGTCAACACTTTTCTACAGATGTGGTTTTTGAACCTGGAGCTCCGGCAGGCGCTTTACTTGTGTCCAGTCACTCGCCCACTGACTGTGACAGCAGAGGGGGATCCAGCAAACAAAGGTCAGTAGCAAGCTAACTTCCTCACTCCTTCCCAGAACTATGTGGGCCAGGAATGTTGTCCTGGTGTTGCCGCTGTGCTCTGTAGTGGGCTTCCCTCACAGGCACTTCCAGACTCATGTTGTGTGTTGCCCCATCAACAGCACCGTGCGGGAAGCCCTTCTCATTTTAACAGATGGGTGACAGAGTCTGAGAGAGAGCTACTGAGGGCTATTCATACAGTCGATACCTGTTAGAGGTGGGGTTGTCCGAACCCACAGCCAAAGGACTGTGCCCTGTCCCATGTGCCTTTGCTCAATGCTTAAGCAACAACTGAGTTGTCACGGAGCCCTACATTTGTGGTTGTTGGAAATCTGAAATTTTTTAGACGGTCGCTTAGAATCTCACAGAGAGGCTGCGGTGGCTCAAGTGGTTAAGACTCTGAACTGCAGACCGGAAGGTTGGTAGTTCAGCAGTTGGAGACCCGAGTGCTGCATGACGGAGTGAGCTCCCATCTCTGGTCCCAGCTCCTGCCAACCTAGCAGTTCAAAAGCAAGAAATTGCAAGTAGATAAATAGGTACTGCTTTGATGGGAAGGTAACAGCATTCCGTGCGCCTTGGCATCTAGTCATGCTGGCCATATGACCACAGAAACGTCTTTGGACCGCGCTGGCTCTTCGGCTTGGAAACGGAGATGAGCACCACATCCCTAGAGTCGGATTCGACTGGCTTTCGAGCAAGAGAAACCTTTACCTTAGAATCGCACAGATCATGAATTCTGCAATCATCAGCCAGTATTTCAGTGGGGTAGTAAAGCAATGCTTTATTGACCAAACTACTCTGCTTGTATTGTCAATGATGAACGTGTGTCACAGTAGATTTGCCACTTGAGGAAGCCTTTTCCCTTTTGATAGATTATGAGCCTCAGACCATTTGTGAACACCTCCAGTACTTGTTCGCTTTGCTGCAGAACAGTAGAAGGCGTTACATCGATCCGTCGGGGTTTGTTAAAGCACTGGGTTTGGACACAGGTCAGCAACAGGTAACGTTTGGGGGGGTTGCGTTTTGTCTGCCTTTGGAAAGCAGATCCATCAAACAAACATGGGAATGACTCAGTATTTGTAGAGCTTGAGCTGGGATTTACAAAGAAGGAATAGGTCAGTAGGCAGTGAGAGAACTCCCCTTTCCTAGGGGCTTACATCATGCCTCCTGAACCACAAAGAGAATCCCAGAGCCATAGCTGGTGCATGGGGGGTATGGGGGTGGTGGCGCTGTACCCTGTTCTTCCTTAGAACTGGGGAGAAGGGATGGGGGCAGAAGAAGCGAACTTGAGTCTGTGTCGCTTTTTGTTTCTCTGTTTTCTGTTTCAATTAACCTAACCCTGCCTTTATAACATCTGCTTTTTTCCTAGGATGCCCAGGAATTCTCAAAGCTGTTCATGTCTTTGCTAGAAGATACTTTGTCCGCACAAAAAAACCCAGACGTGCGGAACATAGTTCAGAAGCAGTTTTGCGGAGAGTATGCCTATGTCACCGTGTAGGTCTTGTTATGGGAGTCCTCTTCCTCTTCAGTTGTGAATGTTTCTGTTAATGCTCTAAGTGGCAGCGTCCTTATGTCCCTCATGCTGGTCTTCTGACTTTTTTTTTTAGTTGCAATCAGTGTGGCAGAGAATCCAAACTTATATCCAAGTTTTATGAGCTTGAGTTAAACATCCAGGGACACAAGCAGTTGTCGGACTGCATTACGGAATTTTTGAAGGTATTTGCTCACCTGTACAGCGATCTTAACTGGGAGGTTCAATAGTATTCCTTTTGTTAACAGACTATGCCCCTGTGCAAGTGAAACGGTGTCTCACGTGCTATTGGAATGCCATTACTATGCCGATATTCGACACCGCACTTTAACGTCACTACTTGGTGGTATCATAGAGCTTCCTGACTCACACAAATTGTTTTATTTGCTAAACAGCGATGATGGAAATATAACCGTCTCTGTGGCCGAGTTCTTGCAGGCTGCTCTTTTTCCCCCTGTAGCACAGTATTGTAATACAAAACTTGTATTCAGGAGATATGAAACCGAGACTTATTTTACTTTGATTTTAGACTATCTTAGAATGTTTTTTTTCTCTTTGATTGGTATTCGTTGTTTACCTTATCTTTTGTATATTACTCTTTTTAATGTCAATGCCAATAAATTTATTATTTATTTATTTTTCGCATTTATACCCCGCCCTCCCCGATAGGCTCAGGGCGGCTTACAGGGGCAAGGCAAAACCTTGCCATAATAAAAAACATAGTATACATAATAATTTAAAAACATATAATACAACTTAAAACAACCTGAATTAAAACATGGTGCTCAATAACTTGCATAATTCCAGAGATGGCAGATCGTAGGTCCAAAGTTCCGAGTGGTACTTCCCACGGCTCAATATTAAGATGTTTCCTCCGGGCCTCGTCGAAATCATGGCAATGGTGGTATAGTAGGGGCGGCGGCTCCTACTCAAAGGCCTGGTGGAAGAGCTCCGTCTTGCAGGCCCTGCGGAACTGCATAAGATCCCGCAGGGCCCGGATCTCCCCTGGGAGCTCATTCCACCAGGGAGGAGCCGCCCTGAGGTTTATGCTGTTGGTCTTATGGAGGTAAGAATGTGATCAGTGTATTGGCCAGAACCGTGCTGGATGGTCCCTTGGCTGCTCAGGTTTCCTTCCATCTTGCTTTAAAATGACCTCTTGGCTTCTTCTGTCAGACCCTAGTTTCTGCTCTCCTGGTTGAGTCAGACATCCCCTTGATATTAAAGTATACAGTAAGATGGGAGCACTGTTACTTGAACGCTTTGTTGAAAGCATCTGGGCGTCCAGATCAGCGCGCCCTCTCAGCTGTGGAGTCCTGTGAGCAGAAATCCCACTTTGTGAGCTGCTGGCCTTAAAGTTGTGAGCGAGGGACTTGGCTGCTGCTGCATAAATTAGCTTGCTCTGGAGCCCTCCTTCCTGAGCTCAGGCAAAAATGTGTGAGCCGGAGGCTGAAGAAACTGTGAGCTGGCTCACACTAGCTCAGTTTAGAGAGGACACTGCTCCAGATGTCAGCTGGTGTTTGCCTTTGGCAGATACACGTCCCAGTGTTTGGACTTGGGGCCCATTGGCACCCCTCCTTGCATAGGGGCAGCTTCTGAACCAGCTGACTTAGAGCCGGGTCTTTGAGCCCGGGAGCATCTTTTTGGATACCGGGCGTGCTGGAGTGGATGACAAAATGGCCTAAAAGCCCTAAATCAGGGACCTGGTTACTCCCTTGGCAGGCTGTTGTGTTTGGGGGTCAGGAGCTGTATCCCGGAAGGGACGGAAACCCTGACCTTGCCTCTTGTCTCTCCTGGCCAGGAAGAGAAGCTGGAAGGGGACAACCGCTATTTCTGCGAGACCTGCCAGAGCAAGCAGAATGCCACCCGCAGGATCCGCCTCCTCAGTCTTCCCGGCACGCTCAACTTGCAGCTCATGCGCTTCGTCTTCGACAGGCAAGTTGTTGTCTCTCTCGCTGCAGTGCTGGCGGGGGGTGGTGGGGGTTGTCACTGCATCTGCTCCGGTCCACTGCATGGAGGCAAGTTGAGCTGGGAGGTCTGCGTGAGTGTGACACCCCCCCGTGTCCTCTCCCATCAGCAGTTTCTCGAGAAGGAAAAGCCTTGTCATGACCCTTGACTTAGCAGAGCCAGAGACGCAAGCTCTTCCCCCGAAGGTTGCCTGGTGCGCACCAAGGACTGTGAAGGGGTTAGGGAGACAAGCCTGGTCTGCTGCAAGAGGGGGGCTGGGGCCGAGTGATTGTAGCCCCGATGCCTGCCGCTCGCACTGGGCTGCTTCCGAGCTCTGGTGCGTGTTGCCCCATCAAACACTTTTTCCCTGCTTGTGCCATTAGGCAAACAGGCCACAAGAAAAAACTTAACACCTACATTGAGTTCTCAGAACTGCTGGACATGGGCCCCTTCATGGAAGACACAGGTGAGCGGTATGTGACACGGACCCTTCTCTATACCAGAGGCATCCAGAGCCTGTTCTGGGAGCAAATGGTACGGCTGGGTTGCGTGTGCCTGTGTGTGTGCTGGCTTGATCACTGCTTTCTTCCTCTTCTGGGACTAGGTGTGCTGTTATAAAAAGCAGCTGCTGAGGCAGCAGGCCAGGGGGAGAAACGGAGGAGGGGCAATTTCCGGTTGCCGTGGTGACGGCCATCTGCTGTCTTTCAGCCGGGGCCTCTGAGTACGAGCTGAGTGCAATTCTCATCCACCGCGGCGTCAGTGCTTATTCTGGCCACTACATTGCTCACGTGAAGGACCCCCAGACGGGGGAGTGGTACAGATTTAACGATGAGGACATTGAGAAGATGGAGGGCAAGAAGCTGCAGCTGGGGGCGGAAGAAGATTTAGGTGAGTCCCTTCCGGCATGATGCGGAGCCCAGGTGGTTGGGAGCCAGGCCGTCCTCAGCGCAGCACGTGTCTGTTTTTGGGCTGTCCTCCTCCAGGAGGCAGACCCCGATGGGCCTGGCTCCTCCCTCACCCTCCCGGACACAAGCCCTAGCTGCTGGGTTGCCTTCACTTGCGCTCTCCAGCATTCCGGGGGAGAAAGGGGGGGGGGGGGGGGGGCAATGCAGGCAGGAGTTCAGTTCTCAGGCCACCCAGCTGCATGGTGCTGAAGTCGGTGCTTTGCCTGCAGTGCTCTCTGCTCATGCCTTCTTCAACTGGCCTAAAAGCCTAGACGGCATTAAAAGTATACTGGAATGTGTCGTCCGCCGGTCACAACATCCTCAGTGTGCAGGAAGAGTAGGCAGTGCGCTGCCAGGTGCTTCCCTGTGCAGGCACATGTGTTGCCGTGTGTGAGAGATGAGAGACCCCCGCTCTTTGATTTCAGATTTCTCTTCCAGAGTTTTTGGGAATGGCGCATGGGAAGCACACACTGACTTTTCCAGCAGAGCGTCCCTAGAGATGCACAGAGAGAAAGATTTGGTACATTTTAGCTGACTTTCCTCCAGAGAGGTCTGAATGGGGTGTGGGGGCCTCCCCCTGTGAGGGAGGTTCGGCTGAGAGTGAGTGGCCAGTCTAAGAGCTGAACCCAGACCTGCCAGACTGCAGTCCAGCTACTGAAGCCTGGACTGTCGCCACCGCCGCTGCTGCTGCTGTGCATGTGTGTTGGGATGACTGAGGGTGGGGAGGGGCTGGCACTCCATGTGTATCGGGGGGGGGAGTGCTCATGCAGTTTTTGTTTGAAGACATGTGGGGTGGCACGGACCCCTTGGGAGGGCTGGGCGCATCTGGCACATTGTGCTGAGCAGAGCGTTAACTACCCAGATGTTGTTCCATGAAGATAAAGGTCTCCTGGTCCCTCTCAGTAATTATACCCAAAAGAAAAGGCTCCGTCAGTCTGTTTATGTGCTGGTGCCATGCGGATGGTGTCTTGCCGGGTCTGCATGTCCCACAGCAGGGACAACATGACTGGCAACCCAAAATGATTTGCTGCCCCCTTGAAACTTGCTTCCAAGCTAGGGATGTGGTTATTTCCTAGGGAAAAAGATAATTTAAATTCATATTTAAATATTTAAAGTTAGTATAATTTAAACAACATTAAGAAAAGAAGGCAGATAAGCCATGTGCAGGCACTAGGGGGTTGCTCACGTTTCATACCTTGCATTTAGCCTGTCTAACATGACTGATCTCCAGCACACCAGCTCTGCCAGCTATTGATGAACAGAGACTATATTGACTTACGCAGGGTGCAAAATTTTCCACAGGAAAATATATCCCCACATCACTTACCCTGGCTGTGGAACAGCTGGGTGGCATCAGTTGCTATTGTTATTAGTTACTTTAATTTATATCCTACCCTACCCTGCAAGCGGGCTCAGGGTAGTTTACGATATTGATAAGACCATGAATAATAATTTGACAATAAATAATAATTCGTAAAAGCTTCAACAATTCCAGTTAAAAAATTTCTGATGGCAGCATAACTATTGCTAACGATTATGCCTGCTTCAGTAATGTCAGGGAGGGCACATTCTCTTAAGAGACCAAAGTCAGCTGACACTGATGCCAGGTTGGTACAGGCAGTGTCCGAGGGCAGGTAGGGCGAATTGAGCAGGTTGATCAAGCTGAGCAGGGAAGGCCGGTGTCCCTTGGACAGTCAAAGGCCTCGTGAAACAGTTCAGTTTTGCAGGCCCTGGTGAACTGTAATAAATCCCACAGGGCCCTAATCTCAACCAGAAGCATGTTTCACCAGGCAGGCGCCAGGACTGAAAAGGCCCTCGCCCTGGTCGAGGCAAGGTGGACATACTTTGGGCCGGGGACTACCAGGCGTCGCTGCTGTGAGGAGCACAAGGCTCTTCGGGGCACATAGGAGGAGAGACGGTCCTTTAGCGATGCTGGTCCTTGAAGGTTAATACCATGACCTGGAATCTGATCTGGTACTCAGCTGGCAACCAATGCAACTGATGCAGCACTGGCTGAATGTGCGTCCGCATACTCGCACCAGCCAGCTGACGCTTCCGGGTCAGACTCACAGGTAGGCCTGCATAGACCGTGTTGCAGTGATCTAGCCTGGAAGGGACCCTCGCGTGGGCCACTGTCACGGGGTCGTGGGGAGAGAGATCAGGAAGCAGCCGCCCGACCGGCCATGGATGGTAAAAGGCTGACCTGGCAGCATTGGTGAGCTGGGCCTCCGTGGAAAGGGGGTCATCCAGAACCACCCCCGGGCTCCTCACCGTTGGGGTCGGCGTCCGTGGCGCCCCGCCAAGGGCCGGGAGTCGGGCTCCCAGTCCTGTCCCCCCACGACTCAGATGCAGGACCTCCGTCTCCGCTGGATTCCATTCCCGCCGACTCTGCTGCAACCAACCAGCCACGGCTCCCAGAGCTCTGGCCAGATGTTCTGGGGTGGAGTCAGGCCGTCTGTCCATCAGCAGACACAGCTGGGTGTCCTCCGTGTACTGATGACAGCCCAGCCTGAACCCCCGAATTACCAGACATGCCACATTGTGGAGAAGGGATTTTCAGGTTGTGAAATTAAATGTGGAATCGCTGTGAGGCCCTGGATCCAGATGACTGGTGGTTCAGCTTAGCTGGGTCCATCAGGGACCAGAGAGAGGGGCAGCCTACAGTGCCGCATCTCCACTGGAAATGGGCAGCATCCGCACAGGCTGTAAACACACACACACACCATGGTGATAGGGTGAGATGGGGGAATGGGAAGAAGCGACTCCAGACTCTGCCTTTCTACACGGAGACCAGATTCCCCAGCGTGTCCTTGCTTTGGCTTTTGTTTTCTGCTAGAGCCTTCTAAAGCTCAGGCCCGGAAGCCCAAATGTGGGAAGGGGGTGTACCGCTCCCGGAATGCCTACATGTTGGTGTACCGGCTGCAGACACGGGAGAAATCGCTGACCGTTGAAATCCCAGGTAAGGAGGCTTTTCCCCCAGGCCAAGGTCTCAGCCAGTTTTCCTCCTTTCTCCTGTGTGTGTGAGAATGTGAGGTGGCTGTGCATGCAGACGCATCCACGCATACATTGTGGCACACGCGCACTGGGCTGAACCGTGCTCCTGAGCCCACACAGCACTGCCCCCCTGGCAGCTTGGTGTAGCAGAGTATCGCCCAGTAGACCCAGTCCCAAGGGTGGCTGTGTGGTGCTGGTGGGGGCAGCCTTCTCTAGGGGCACAGGAAGGGTTGTGTGCTGGAAAGGTCGTTCTGTCAGACGCCATCAGGGCGTCCTTCTCCTGAAGAAACGGGGCGCCAGTCTGCCAGGGAAGGTGCTGTGGGCAGTGGTCTCGGCAACGAGGTCCCTTTAGCATACCCGTGCGGGGTGAGGCTTTGCCCGGGGCTGCTGATCACCAGGGTGCTCTGATGTCACCGTGCGGCTTTTCTTCCCAACCAGCTTTCTTGCAAGAGCTGGTTGAGCGGGATAACAGCAAGTTTGAGGAGTGGTGCAGCGAAATGGCCGAGATGCGCAAGCAGAGCGTGGCCAGGGGCAAGGTCAAGCACGAGGAGGTGAAGGAGCTCTACCAGAGGTTACCCGCTAAAGCTGGTCTGTAAGATCTTCCTTTCGTACACATCTTGCAGTAGTGCTTGCTTAAGGAGGGGGGCGGCGGGCGGCAGGGGCCTGGTCTGCACGCAGCAGGCGGGCTCTTCGCCGGGGGGGGGGGCTTCCCAGGGGCCGGGCCGAAGGCTGCAGCCGGGGATGGCCCTCCCTCCCCCCCCCACCTCCACGGGGAAAGCTTTCAGGTGGTTCGTGCCACAAGCCCAGGGCAGTGTGTTGCAGGGAGCCCCGCGGCAGAGCTGTGCCCCGAATCCCCCACGGCTTGCCTGGAGGGCCCCTCTTGCCCTTTGCAAGCCTCTTGGGTGGGGTGGGGGGGCGTCCATATAGCCAGAGGTACCCTTACCTGGCCCCCAAGAAGACAAGGCTGCTGGCTTGGGTGGCCACAACAGGCCTTGTTGTTACTTTGCAGGTAACACTGGAGTCTTTTGGACAGGGACTCCTTTGGGGGATCGCCGGGGGGGGGGGGGGGGCAGCTTTCCCAGGCGAATTTGCCACTCATTCAGCGGTTTCGTAGTGATAGGGAAATCTCCGGCAACTAAATGGCCATTCGTCTGTTTTAACTTTGGGGGTGGTGTGTATGTTTGTGTGGGGGGGGGCATGTATGTGATCGCAACCCACGAGGGCCAAGATCCGGCTTCGGTGCTTTTGTGGGGGACGCCGGCGGTTGGCACTGACCCTCCTGTCCCGCTGCCCTCCTCCTAGGGTGTCCTTACGACTTTGTCTCTCTTGAATGGCTGCAGCAGTGGCTGGATGAGTCCACCCCGCCCAAGCCTATTGATAACTCAGCCTGCTTGTGCTCACACGGCAAGCTGCACCCCGATAAAATCCCGATGGTCAAGAGGGTCTCTGAGTACGTGGCCGACTCCTTTTACAAGCGCTACGGAGGAGGGCCCAGGCTGACGGGTGAGCGGGGGCTGCTGGCCTGACCCCTGGCGGGGGGGGGAGGGGGGAGCCTCGCCTTCTCCTTCGCTGGACTGGGACTTGTCGTTTCTGCCACTCAGCCCTGGCAGGCAACGGGGTGTGGCTGAGCGTGCTGGGGGCAGACGGGTCTGCACGCGGCAAGTGGGGCAGCCCAAGATCCAGGTGAGGGAGGCCTGCGTTGTACACACCGCTTACAAAGAGGCTGAGTGGGGAAGGGCTGTGTGCACACGCCTGCCTGCCCCCACCCGCAAAAGGCTGGGTAGATAAGAACATAACGTAAGAGAAGCCCATGTTGGATCAGGCCAACGGCCCATCTAGTCCAACACTCGGTGTCTGTCACACAGTGGCCAAAAATACCAGGGGTCATCAGGAGGCCCAGCAGTGGGGCCAGGACACTAGAAGCCCTCCCACTGTTGACCCCCCCCCCCCAAGCACAAAGACTACAGACCATCCCTTGCCCCAGCCCGAGAGCTCCTTTCTATCCCTTGTGGCTAATAGCCACGGATGGACCTCTGCTCTGTATGTTCATCCAGTTCCCTCTTGACGCTGCCCATGCTTGTAGCCGCCACCACTTCCTGTGGCAGTGAGTTCCATGTGTTCATCACTCTTTGGGTGAAGAAGGACTCCCTTTCATCTGTTCCCAGATCGTCTTGTCCTCTCCGTTGCCCAAGGAGAAACCCCCTCTGCGCCTTCACCACATTCCTCAGGCCTGTGCCGCTTGCGCACGTCATTGTGCCTGGTCCCCCACACACGCACACGTCGGGCCCTCCTCCCCCCTCCTTCACACCTTCTCCAGCTCTGTCTGCCAGCTGGTGGAGGAGGCAGTAGCTGTAGGAACTTGGGTGATCTTTTGCCCCTCCTCCCCCACCCCCCCAGTGAAAGCACTTTGCCGAGAGTGTGTGGTGGAGAGATGCCGGGTGCTGCGCCTGAAGAACCAGCTCAACGAGGACTATAAAGCAGTTGCCAGCTTGCTCAAAGGGCCCGTCAGATGGTACGTGGGCACTTGGAGGAGTGCAGAGAGCGCGGGGGGGGGGTGGTGGCTGGCGGTGGCCGGCTGCGTGGAGCCCGCGGAGCCTCCCCAGTTGTGAGTTGTCGCCTTCCCCCTCCGCAGCGACGAGGGCTTCTGGGTCGGCAAATCCTCCTTGCGGAGTTGGCGACAGATGGCGCTGGAGCTGCTGGACGACCCGGAGGAGGACGCGGACCAGAGCAACGGCAACATGAATGGCGACACGAAGAGCAAAGGTAGCCCCCGGCTGTGCCCGTGGGCCTCTTGGGTGTCGGCACCCCGAGCTGGGTTTACCCCGTAGCAGCCTCAGCACTGTGGGCACACTCAAGTGCTGTGTGCTGTGACGTCCTGTGGGTGCCGAGAACCTCACTGGGGCAGCATTTCGGTTGGTCCGTGGCCCCTTGTTCTTTGGTCAAATAATCCACACGGAGGCTTGCAAACACATCTCCCCCCCCCCCCAGTAGTCTTGCTTGGTTCCCAGTGCAAAGCCGGTTCCCGCGAACGGGGTGAGAGGGAGAGGTGGAATCGCCCGATTCTTTTTCTCTTCTGCAAGTTCCACGGCTTCCAATCCAGCCGACACCCATCCAGTGAGCCGCATTAGGAGACCGGCTCTTCACCGTGTCCTGTCTTGCCTGTTCTCCAGATGAAACCAGCTCTGAAAAGCAAGAGGAAGAGGACCTGAAGTTCAACGAGGACATCGTCTGCCCCCATGGTGAGAGGGGGCCTTGCGTTCCTGCAGAGAGGGTGTGTGCGTGTCCTCACTTGGTGTGGTGGTTTGAGGAGGAGGAGTGATGTGGAAAGAGCCCGTGGAGCTTGGCGTGTCCCGTACCCAGGAAGCCAAAGAAGACTGAGGCCGCTCTGTCCTTTCTGTCACTCTGACGTGCGCACGATAGCCTCTCGTGCACCCTCTTCGGGATCTGCTCAGTGGCGGAGCTTGGGTTTTCCTCCGTGGACTCCATCTGTGGCTCAGCTGTCTGATGGCCACGTTCCTTTCTGAGGCCTGCTTAGATGTTTTGTCTTGACTGGAAGTTAGTGGCCGCATTGTGACCTTGGAGGGAAAAATAGCATTCCATCCGGGCACGCTAGCTGAAGAGGTGTGCGCTGACCTAGTTGGTATGCGGGTTTGGGGCCTCTCAGCCGCTGCTTGTAACATTTTTAGCAAGACCGGGATGATGCCAGAAGCCTCTCTGATAAGGCAGCAGCTCTTTCCGTCTCTCTTCACGGGAAATGAGCGCGACCTGTGTGCCCAGAGCTTAGCGAGTCATGCAAGGAGGGGCCAGGAAACGAGAAAGCAGAAGGGCAGATTTCTCCGAGGACACCGTCGTCCCTGGGGTGGCATGGAAGGGAATGTGTGGGGTGGATGTTTGGCAGCTTACAGCTCCCAGGGAATCCAAGGAGGGCTGAGGGCTTTGGAATTGCCCGGACCAGCCTCCTTTAATGCATCTGCCTTCCCCCCCCCCCCCAAGGGAAGAGAGGGGTGTGGGAATGGCCAGGAGGGGCCGGGATCCTTTGTGTCTGTGGCCGTGGAGAGCCAGGGAGATCCTGGAGCACGCAGATAAAACTCCCTCTGTGGCAGCTGTGGTCATCTAACAGCCCCAGGCGCAGTGAGGTACAGTGCTGGGCAGGCTGTATGTGTGTGCAAGCGTGCGCACCCGTGTCCTTGCTCTGCCCTCTTCGTGAGTGCCAAGGGAGTCTCTGTTGCAGCTTCCGAAGCCAGGTTTCTCCCCGTGTGACGCGCCCCTTGCTGCCTGAATTGCGCCTGGTGCAGCCAAGAAAGGGAAAACAAAGCACATTTCTTCAGCTAATTGCTGGATGTGTTATAATTGGCCTGTAACCGTGGAGTCTGCACAGAAAGGAGCCGTGCTAAAATAGCAGGCACCTCCAGTTCTTTCCGCATACTGACCTAGCAGCAAATTATGTCTGTAGATTGGGCTTCTTGCTTCAGTCAGCTGACGCAGTCCTTGGGGGGGGGGGGCTGCATGCCGGGGGGGGGGCTTCTGGAGGGATCTGGGATGCTGCCGTTTGGGAGGGAAGGAGGCGCCTGTGTGCAGAGTCACCACCCCGACTCAGCCCAGTGGCCTCCCTCCCCTCCCCTCCCCTCCCCTCCAAGGGGGCTCTCCAAGGGCTGGACTGAGGAGTCTTCCCCAGCCTTCTGGGGTGCTGAGATTGTCCTCTCCTTGCTGAGCTAGGGAGGGGCTTTGTTGTCTTGCGGTGTGAAGGTCTTGCACAGCCCCACAGGATCTCCAGCCTTAATGGAGGGCATGGGGGGTGTATGTGCTTCTTTTGCTTTCTGGTGGGTTTTGGGGGTTTTTTTGGAATGTTTAAATACTTTTGTGTGTGCCCCTGGAAGTCATGGCAACCTCTGGTGACTGACCTCTACTGAGGGCCTGGAGGATATTCAGAGATATTCAGAGGCTGAGTAAAGCCTGCCCCTGCCTCCTGGTATTCCAAGGAGGTCTCCCATCCAAGTGTTTGCCAGGGTCGACCCTGCTTAGCTTCCGAGATCTGATGAGATCAGGCTTGCCACGTCAGGGCAGCTCTCTGGTGGTTTTGACACGGGGACACACACTACCACCACCCGCTTTCCTTGTGGATTTCCTTTGTTCCTCCTTGCAGTGTTGAAGAGATGGTTCACACATACTCCTCTGGCCCTAATCTGGTGCTGTTTGGCAACAATCCCATGTCCCTGGAAACGCAGCAACCAGTTGGTCAAAAGTTGATCAGTAAACCTGCCCATCTGGCCCCTGTTCCTTCTGCAACAGCCACGTATTGATTGCTGCTGTTTGATCTCGAAGGGTGGGAGCTCGGAAACGACAGAGGGAGGGGAAGGGGAAGGCGGCCTTAAGGAGCGAAGATATTTCGCCAGCCGTTGGCCAGGGGTGTGTTCTGTCAGGGCTTCTGTGAGCTTCCTAATTGGGCAGCCGCCCTACAGGACCTGGTTATGAATGCAGAGACCCCGTGATGGAGGCCCCCAGTGGTGTCACGTTAAAAAGCAGTGCCCATTTGGGGACCTCGTCATCCCTCGCTCCTGCTGTTGGCTGGGTTCAGAAGGGGCTCGCAGGTGACGGAAGCTGTGCCTGGTCTCCCTCCCTCCGGCCTCCTCGGGCGGTGGGCGCTGGCTCTTGTGTCCAGGCAGAGTCACCCGCAAAGCCTCTGGTTGTGGTGTGACCCAGTGGCGTTTCTCTGCTCTCTTTCCACACAGGCAACCTCTGTATATTGGAGAATGAAAGGAGGGTCGTTTCCAAGGATGCTTGGGAGAAGCTCCGCTGCTATTTCCAGGGTGCCCCGGAGTTCCCCACCAGCCAGGACTCCTGCTCCCAGTGCAAGGTGCTGGGACGGTTGTGCTCTGCGGGGTCACCCTTTGGCCGAGTGTGAGGATGCCCCGGGAATCCAAACACTTGCATGCCAAACAGGGGCGCCAGGAGGGAGCTTGCAGGACAGTTCCGGGTGCGTTTGCACAACGGCTGTTGCTCCTGGCTGTGTGTTCGGCCACTTGGGTGGGGACGGAGGGGGAGAGGGTGACTCAGGTGGCCAAGTTTCGAGGTAAAGGCACATCCGGTCCTTTCCCTGGTGGGATCTGACTGGCCTTCTTGTTGCTGCCCTACTCCCAGCAAGGAGGGGATCGAGGGAGGCCATCAGTGACACACACGGAGCGTGGCCAGGCGCATAGTCTGGAGGTGGCTCCGACCCATCCTGTGGCGGGGTGGCCCTGCGGTGGCCACCTGGGCTCAGCTTGCCCAGGTTTACCTGTCCTTCCTGTTTTAGCTTTGCCAGTTCTCCTTCCCTCTTGGAGAAGGGGGGGGATTGGGGTTTGGGGGGGGGGGGGGGTTGTGTGGAGGGGGGATACCCCAAGCACTGCGTAACTGCTGACAGGAGTGGGCGAGACGGGAGCGATCTCTCTCTGTGTCTTTCTGTCCGTCCGTCTGTGCACGCAGATTCTGGAGCGGGAGGGTGAGGAGAACGAGGCCCTGCACAAAATGATGGCCAGCGAGCAGAAGGCGTCTCTCCCCAACCTCTTCCAGGAGAAGAGCAGGCCGTGCCTGAGTAGCTGGCCAGAGGTAGGAAGAGTGGGAAGGGGGGGGTCTGCTGCCTCTTAGGGTGGGGGGGGTGGGGGGGTGACCTTGGACCTTGCAGCCAGGTTAGTGGGGGTGTTCTTGGCACACGGGAGAGCCCTTTGGGCAACGTCTGCTGGAGGAATTGCGCTCCTGGGCAGGCCTCCTCTACCCCCCACGGGGTTCTCTAGAACAGCCTCGCAAGTACATAAATCCCCACCGAGTTCAGGAGAGCAGGTGGGGATGTCTGTGTGCATCTGCACGCAGGCTCCTCCAACACACTGTCCCGTCCCCGTTAGCTTCAGCAAGCACCATGCTAGTGATTACAGAGCCCAGCCAGCCAGAGTTGAAGTGAATGGGCTGGGCGGGGCTGCAGTCTGCAGTCAGAATGGAAGGTGTTGGCCTGAAGTCAGCCAGGTCCCGGTTTGAATTCTGAAAGCCCTTCTCAGGATAGAGTCCAGGATGGTGGTGTTTGAAGAAGAGGAGGAGGAGATTGGATTTATGCCCCGCCCTTCACAACCCAATGGAGTCTCAGAGCGGCTTACAATCTCCTTTCCCTTCCCCTCCCCACAAGAGACACCCTGTGAGGTAGGTGGGGCTGAGAGAGCTCTGACAGAAACTGCCCTTGAGAGAACAGCTCTGAGAGAACTTATGACTGACCCAAGGTCACACCAGCAGCTGCATGTGGAGGCAGAATGGGGAATCAAACCCGGTTCTCCCAGATTAGAGTCCGTTCTCCTAACCACTACACCAAACTGCAGCACACAGCAGGTTCCAAGTGACTTGTTTTTGGATAAAGATGAACTTCAACCCTCTTGGATTAACTCCACTAATTTCGACAGATAATTCCTATTTAGGATGGATGAAGGAGAAATCACAATTTTGTGGGTTTACTCCCACAGCCCTGTGGCATTGGGGTGCTTGGAAGCAAAAAACAAAAATTGAAAGTATTTAAATAATGAATTTGGGATACAGCTCTGCAAGTTGATAGAGCATGGGTTCAAGCTTAGCTGGCAGCTGGAAACTATGGCAGACCCTTTGTCTTGTCAGAATACCTTGTTACTTTAGGATTTCCCAGATATTAAAGAGCCCTTATTTTGGCCTGTTTACCTTCAGTTCTTCTGGTAGGGAGCTATTCATGTATCTCCCACCATTCTCAGCACGTCCGTCCTTGCCAGTCAATTGAGGCTGAAACAGTTAAATCTGCACTGTTGTATATCTCATAAGGACATCTGTTCATTATACATCCCCCCAATCCAATTTTCCAGGTAGATCTGTCAGATTTTCTGCTTTCAGGTCATTCCAGTGGAAACACTCTTATGGTAGCTAAATTCTGTGTTTTGGCCTGTTTAATAAGAAAGCACCCGGTTAAAATTTTTGTTAGTTATTTGCATATCACAGAAGCTAGATTAGCAAGGCTATGAATTTTGACTACATGTATATATTTTATTTATCTGTCGCTGACTACGTTCTTGCTGCCTGACCTAGGGTCCTAATAAAACTGAGCAAAGTGGGAGTTGGCTGGGGGCTGCTCTAGAGTCAAGGCCTCACTCCCTTTGCATTGCCTTCGCAGGAGGTGGATGAGCTCTACGTTGTCTCAAAGTTCTTTGTGGAAGAGTGGAGGAAGTTTGTAAGGTAAACGGGCTTAATTTGCTAGCTCTGCTCTCAGGCCGTGGATGCAGCTGCCGCCGCTGCCGCTCAAGGGCCCGGCACAGCCCCTGCAGCCTCTTGAGGGGTGGTGTGTGTGTGTGCTCTCTCACGCGTCCCACTGATGCTCAGCCAAATGCTCATCCCCCTGGAAGTAGCCGGGCAAAAGCTGGGAAAGAGCGCTGCCGCCACAGACCCCTCCTCTCCTTGGTTTCCCCCAGGAGGCCCACGCGGTGCAGCCCCGTCTCGTCGGTGGGCAACCGGGATCTCCTCTGTCCGCATGGGGGCCTGATGTTCACGTTTGCTTCCATGACCAAAGAAGACTCTAAACTGTGAGCTGCTTCTCAGTGCCCCGTCTGTGGTTCTGGGGTGGGTAGGAGGGGGGGGGCAGCGCAGCTAGGTAGAGGGGCTTAGCACACTGGCTCTGTTCCGCTGGGCTTGGGCGGGGGCCTGCCCTCTCAGTCCTGCCGTTCTGAGTCCCGCGGGCAGAGGAGCCGCGGAGGTTTTTGGCCATGGCCACAGTGGAGGAGGAGGAGGAGGAGCAGCCGTGGAGGCGGGCTGGGGGCGGGGAGGCCGCGGTGGCCCTTCAGAGTCAGCCAGCGTCACGCTTCTTTGCACAGTATAGCTCTGATATGGCCCAGCGAGTGGGGGAAGATCCAAAAGCTCTTTGTGGTGGACCACGCCATCAGAGTCGTCCGGCGGCGCCCTGCGGAGGCAGGCCCTGACCCTCCGCTCTACGTCACCGAGCCAGGTGAGTGAATGGTGGTGGGGAAGGGGGGGGGGGTATCCACGCTGGCATCAGCCGGGTGCCAGGGCCCCTTGCTCCCGGCGGAGAAGCACCCCTTGGTCTGTGGGTTCCAGGACCGTTTTCTTCCGATGAGGCCCGGCTACATCGCAGCGGCTCATGTTCGTCGCCAGGATAATGGGTTGGGGGCCCGCCGTGAGCTACAGAAGCAGGGCGAGAGGGAGGGCTTGCCGTAGGGGCCTGCCCTGCTCCGGGGAGGGACAAGGGGCCTGGTTCTTGGGCACTGGCTGGGCAGAGCTTTCCCGCTTGCTGACCGCGTGGGACTTTAGCGTGCCGTCCAGGCCCTTGCGCTTTCAGTGACCTGCACGCTGCCCCCCTGCCCCCAGGCTCCACGGGCAGAAACTGAAAAGTCTGTTGCCAAAGGCGGGAGGGGATGGGACTAAAAAAGGGTGGGGGAGGAAGGAAGTCAAAAAACGTGGGCGGGTAAGTACAGTGGAACCCAGTGGCATTCGGGGGGGGGGGGGTGGGCGGGTGGGCCGCGTTGTATCCCACAAGCAAGGACCCCGTTGGGGGGGGGGGGGGGGGGCCTTGGTGGGGTGTGGGAGACTGCCGGTCGAGCGTTTGCCTCCTTGTGCCTCCCCCAGAGCTGTGCTTGGACTGCCGCGAAGGGCTGTTGTGCCAGCAGCAGAGAGACCTGCGGGAGTATGCCCAGGCCACCATCTACGTGCGCAAAGTGGTAGACAACACAAAGGTAGCCCCCACCCCACCCCGGCAGGCCGTCCTGTGCCGTGCAGCCCATCGGGCGCGGTGGTCCGTGTCAGACTGGGGCTGGGGAGATCCTGCCTCGCAGGAAGGGTCAGGTGGAGGGAGGGAGACACGTGTGCCTTGGGGGGGGGGTCCCTTGGAGGCATGGAGTGGGGCTAGTTGCAGCAGGGGGGGTATAGAAGCAGCTTCAGAACGGAGCTCGGGCGGCAGGCTTTGGTGGGCTCGGGAGAGGGCCTGCCGCTGGCTGTTGCCCCCATGTCTGGAGGGGCTGGGGGGGGGCTTTGAGGGCCTCAGCAGAGCCATTTGCGGGTTCTCATGTTCCATTAAGGCTGAGCTCCTGGGAGGGAGGGAGGGGAGGGAGTGGGTGTGCGTGCAGGCAGTTAATAGGCTTTCTGCTCCGAGGGCTTTTAAGAGTCCCTCCTTCCTTCAGAGAGCGTGCATTAAGTAGCAGGCCTGGTCCTTTGAAATGTCAAGCACTCAATCTAGAAGGGAGCCTCAATTTACCCAAGAAGGGTTTGAGTTATGGCTGCTCCTGGAGATCAGAAGGCGCTGGCAGCCCCCCCCCCTCCCCTCCATTGCCCAGGCTTGCCGCGTGCCCTCTCTTCCTGCCCACCGAAAGTGCCTGCCCTTGTGCCGTGGGCTGGTGATGCTCAGGGAGGCGGGTGCTGCTGAGGGAAGGCAGGGCGACTGGCGAGGAAGGCCTGGAGCTGCCGAGGGCTGGGCTGGTGTTGATGCAACGGTGCCTGCCCTCCCCCAGACCGTCCCGGCCCCCGCCCCCCCGCCAGCCAGCGGCTGCTTTACAGAGGCGATGGGGCTGCAAACCAGCTGACAGCAGTGGAATAAAAATGTTTGGGTGCGGGAAGGTCAGGCAAGTCTGTCGAGTGAGACGTCGCTGAGGCTAAATATAGGCCCGCCTTCTGCCCGTGGCTGCCGGCTGAAGCCGTCCTGGGCTGGCCGTGTGGGAAGATTCAAGGGGGAGGCACCTGCAGAGGGCAGGATGCTGGCCAAAGGGGTCCAGGTGGTGGCGGCGGCTGAGCTTACCCTGGTTGTGGTGGATTGGGTCCATGCCTTCTGAAGGCTCTTGGAGGGGGAGATTAAAATCTCGGTCAATAAACGTACAAGGGAAAATAAAGCAGCCTATTGGATCACCTGGAAGCATTAGTGGCACGAGGCTTGCTCTTGATACAAGTCCCTGAAGCGTCAGGTTTTATGCGGTCCAGTTTATCTCCGCCCTTTCCAGATGCCTCTGCCGCTCTCCTGCCCCCTGTCCAGCGCCAAGGTGAGCCGCCTGGACCCGGGACGGCAGTGGTGCTGCCCTCGTGTGCAAATTCTCTCCTCCTGGTCCCGGGGACCTTGCTGCCTCCGGGCCTCTTCTTCGGGGCCTCCGGGCCCAGCTCACAGGAGTGTTCCTCTGCGCCAGGTCATGAAGGACTCCGCTCCGGAGCTCAACGTCAGCAGCTCCGAGGCAGAAGAGGAGCGGGAGGAGGCCAGGCTGGAAGGGGAGCAAGATCCGGATTTTAACCAGGTACCTCTTGGGCTCCTCGTTTTCATTCTGGGGCTTCGACACCCGAACTGCCGCGTTCCCCTCTTTCACTGGCCTGAACCCGCTGGCCGCAGGGCCGCCCTGGAGTCCAACACGAGTGCCTGGCAGTGCTGAAGGCAGAACGCCACCTGAGGTACTAACCAGGGCTTGCAGCGAGGAGGAGCCCCCGATCGCCATACGGGACTCCCTGCCACGGGGCGTGGGGTCGGTCCCTGCCCTGGCTTCCACAAAGGGACCCACTAGGTTCCCGGAGGGGGGAGGGGGAGCGGTCCGCCGAGGATTGTGAGCTGCCAGAGTTAAGGGGGACCTCCAGGTCGGCCTTGGAGCACCCGTGGCCTGCAGGGGGAGGCCAGGAGGGCCAGTGCGGTGTAGCGGTTGGAGTGTTGGACTAGGAACTGGGAGACCCAGGTTCGAATCCCCGCTCGACCGTGGACGCTTGCTGGGTGACCTTGGGCCAGTCACTCCCTCTCAGCCTGACCCTACTTCGCAGGGTCGCTGTGAGGATGAGATGAAGGAGAGGAGAGCGATGTCAGCTGCTTTGGGGGGGGGGGAAGGCAGGTGTAGATGAAGTGAGCAAATCATAAGTACGTGCCCGGCTGTGTGTGGCTGCCCACTCCTCGCCATGAGCCTGATCCTGTCGTGCGAAGAGCTCTTTGTGGTCTTAGAGTCCAGTGCTCTTTTGGAAGCCTGGGGTGTATCTGACATGCAAGATACTGTATAGCTGGTGACTGGGGGGGCCCCTTTCCTCCAAACTGGCCATTTCCCTGGTTGCCCAGAGGACATAGTTTGCTGCTTAGGCAGACGGGAGGAAGGGCTCCCTTTCGGAATCCGTCAGGCCATCTTCCTGCTTCCAGGCCAACAGCAACCCCAAACGGCAGAAAGTGTCGCACCCAAACTACGCTGCGTACCAAAAACAGGGGATCCGACGAAGCACGCGGCACAGGAAGGTGCGCGGAGAGAAAGCTCTGCTGGTGTCTGCCAACCAAACACTGAAAGACCTGAAAATCCAGGTGAGTGGCCTGGCTGGAGTCCGCAGAGGGGGCTGGCAAAAGGCACGGCCTTCCCCCCCCCCCCCCCAAAGTGGGGGCGGCCAGGCGAGGGAGGTGGGGCTCTCTGCAGGTCTCCTAGCCGGTGTGTGAACCCCCATTTAATAAAGCCTCTTCCTTCTGGGGCAAAGGCACATCAGGTCCCAGCAGAGGGAACTGGGGGAAGGAGGAAAGACATTAGACCGGCTGTGGGGTGGGAGCTGAAGGGGCAGGGAAGTGACGTGTGGGGCACCAGCTGTTTTGGAAGAGAACCGGGGGGGGGGGATCGCCAGACTTTGCTGAGCGAAGAATCGCTGAGACAGGCCTGCGGTGCTGCTTTGCTGTGAGTTCCGGGCTTCGTGCCGCATTCTGCGCATCCAGCCATGTCCCGGCCTTGACCTGATTCCAAAACAAAGAGCCTTTGCCGGGCAGAAAAACTGCAAGTCGTCCGTGCTGCTCCCCCCCCCCCCCCCCCTCACACTTGCTTGCTGCCCGGCTTGCGCACCCACGGGTGTCTCTTGCCCGGCCCAGATCATGCACGCCTTCTCGGTCGCCCCTTTCGACCAGAACTTGTCCATCGAGGGGACGACGCTCACAGAGGACTCGGCGACTCTCGGCAGCCTTGGCGTCACCCCGGAGTCTGTTGTCTTACTCAAGGTAACGGGATGAGGGGGGTCTCCTTCCCCCAGCCTCGCCTTGCCTCGCCTCGCCTCGCCTCTGGGGGACGGGCTGCTGCCGGGGATCCCGTCGGTCCCTCACAACCTCATCTTGCTTCTGTCCCCCCAGGGAGGGAGGGAGGCTTAAGAGCAAAGCTGCTGGCTTAAGGTCTCTCAGGGTGTGCTTTCTGTCCGGGGGGCTGGGATTCGAACCCAGGCTTTCCGGTCTGACTCAGGCTGCTCTGCAACATGGGCAGTCCCTGGGGGGCTCACGAGAGTCTGGCCGGTCAGGCTGGCCACTTGGGCCCTTCTTGGTTCTGGTCGCGGAATCACTGGCAGGGTGCCCTCAGGGCAAGCGTCAGCCGCCTGCCTCCGCCTTCCACATCTGCTGTGGTGGAAGGGACATCCCCTGTCCCTCTCCCTTCTGCGGAATCAGGCCACTTTGGGCCCACTGCACACGGTCTCCCAAAGAGGTCTGCGTGCAGCTGCTGCAGGCCGCTGGCGAACGGGAGTGGTGGGGATGGCTGTGGGGACGGATGGTTCGAGTTCGGCACGTGGGTGGCAGGCCTGCACCCAAGCGGGCCAAGCTCCCCGGCAGTGGGGCAGATTCTTCTTCCTTCTGCTTCCCCATCTTGACTACTGTCAGACGCCTCCCTTGCAGACCGGCTAACCTTGCCAGCTGCTTCCGTATTCAGGCCGCCTTTCCCCTTGCAGGCGGACGAACCTGTGGTGGATTATGCAGCAATAGATGACGTTATGCAAGGTAACCCGAATCGCCCCCAGTCTCAGCTTCCCTGCCCAGCCCTCTTTGCTTCTGTGGGTTGGCTGAAGGGGGGTGAGATCCGGCCTGGAGTGGGCTCCTGAGACAGACAGGGAGAGCAGGAGGCGTGGCCAAGCGGGACTGGCAGGCCCTCCTCTTCCTCCTCCTGAGTCTTTTCTGATGGGTGTGCCTCTTCCTTTCCAGTGTGTATGCCTGAAGAAGGCTTTAAAGGTAAGCGTCTGCTCTCCCTTCAGTGGCCCCCTCACCCGCAGGCCTGTTCCTTCCTCTGGAGGAACTGGTCTCCTTGGGCACTAAAGGTCCAGCAAGAGGCGTTTTGGACACAGTTGGGCATTCCAGGAAAGAGGGACCTCCGTCAAGCCCGTCGTTGTCCAGCATTTCCGAAGGCAGCGCTCCCTCCTTCCCTCCCTCCCTGCTGAAGGACCGGCCCCGGGGGGCCTCGCACCAGACCGGGCTGCGCTGCAAGACGATGGGCTTTTTCAGAGGGAGCGTGTCAGATTCTCTGTCTAGCAAAACAAAGGCGGGAACTTCCGTAGCAGCCAGGGACCGACGGCTCCTTGGCTCTCGCCCTGCTCTTCCTCCTCCCCCCCCCCCCAGGCCCGGCCCAGCAGATGCCTCTTCCGCGAAGCCTCCTTGGGCTCTCCAGCGGCGTGTTGAGGGGTTAACACGGGCTGCCCCCATCCGCCTGCACTGGCTGCGGAGTCCTGCCTTGGAGACTGACCACCCCCAGGAGTGACAGACACGGGCAGCCGGCAGAAGCCTTCCGTGGGAGACTCCGAGAGCGCCGGGCAGGGGGGATTGATCGAGCGGTCCACCTTTGTGGTCCCATTGCCCACCTGCTGGGAGAGGGCCCCGGACGGACTCCAACCGCCGTCTTCACTTGCAGGAGGACTTGATTCGGTTACTGGAATGAGAGCGCTCTCCAGTTGAGAGGGCCTGAGGGGAGGACCGGGCCGGGGGCCGGCTGAATGGATCTTCCGCTCCCTCTGGTTTTCTGGGAATCTTGCCCCGGCACGAGAGCCCCCGTGGGGAAGGGCGGGCACGGCTGCACACCCTCGATGGGCCTTCTGCAGGGAGGAGGGGTGTCCTTGGCTGCCAGCCGCGTCTCCAGAAGGGCTTCCGCTTGATCTTGCCGAGCGTGCCCACGGGAGCATCTTCAGCATTTCAAAACGATGCGGTCTCCTCTTGTTGGAGGCGGGGTGTGTCTCGACTGTCGTACTGTGATCTCCATTTGCTGTTCAAGTGAGGACGGGGGGAAGCAAAGGCAGGAGGGGGGGCAGCTAAGTCAGCGAGGTGTGTGTGTGGGGGGGGGAGTGAGGTTCCTTCTTTACTTCGGGGGCACCCTGGTGGCCCAGTGAACAGCCATGGTGGGTCTTCTCAAGGTGGGAAATGGAGCCGAACCCTTTTTATTCTTCCCCGGGGAACCAGAGTCTAGTGATAATGCAGCTGCCGCTTCTTGGCGCTCCACGCAGCCGCCTGCCTTTCTCTCCTTCCTGCACACCCCGGCCTGCAAGGAGCTTATTCGTTCTCACTGACAGCGGCCCTGCCTGGGTGCACGCCCCCCCCCCCGGGGGAGGGGGGGGGC